TGTTCAGTAGCTGATATATCTCAGCAGCACAAGGAGATCTAGTATCAGTTGAGCTTACAAAACTCTAATCAGGAATACAGTCACCTTAAGAACTGTCCATTATCTGTGATTAGTATGCAAGGCTTTCATTTTTCACACCATTACCACTTCATTGACAGCAATAAATATATAAAAAGCTAGATGTGTTTTGAACAGTTTCAGTAAAAGACAAATTGCAGGGCTTTATACCCTTTCAGTGGGAGTATGTGCTGTAGCACATAATAACAAGATAAATCCCTCAGTTTGGACACTTTACATACCAGGATACTTGTTCTATTAGATTAATATTTTAATATGTCTCTATGTTTCAAAGTGAAATTGCAGAAATTGTTTAAATCTGTTAACATATCAAGTAATAACAAGTCATTGTTATTATACATTTATATTATATATTTTATATATAATTCATTATTATTATCCTCATAGAAATCACAGTAAGTCCTTCAGGAGCTCTGAACCAGAATTCCAGAAATTTAAAATAATTTAGATAAATGTTTAATTTAGATCAAAACCAAAGAAACTTTAAAATCTTCAAAATTTAACAAAGCTTTAAAACATATTAGCAGAATAAAATTTTTTTTAAAATGCAGTGGTACTTCTTCCTCATAATCAGTAGTTTAACATTGTTAAGATATTTTTCTGAGGATGGAATTTTCTTCAGTTGATACTCTGCTCTTCTTTTCTTTGTTGGGCAGATTCTTATTGAAGTAATGCATTTTACCCTTCACTTCTTTGGTGTGATAGTGACTGAACACCTAAGATGAGCCCAAAAGAAAATTCTGTATTTTTATTTGCTTGTTTTTCTTGTTGTTCCATTGTCACTTCTTAAATGTATTTAATTTTATGTTAGGGTTAAATCCACAGTGCATGCATCTGTTTGTTGGAACCAAATCTTTTCTTCAATCAAAACCCTGCAAAAAGGTTTTAAATACCATTGAATATTCTGCTCATGCAATAAATTTTAATTATAAACCAAAACCTAGTTCATATTTTTGAAAGTGCTTTGTAAAACGAAAAAAGCCTTTCAATGTACTTCACATAGCACCCTCCTCATAGTTAATCAGTGCTGAAAAACAGTCCATTTCTGTGATCAAGCTATCTCAAATGTATTTTTTGTGCCAGTAGGCTTTTCAGAAGTGATTTTTCTTACGCTCTAGGTACTTAATCTATGTATAGTAGGTCAGAATGGAATAAACTAGAAAAAAATGAAGATTTTTTTTTTAAATTATTGAAGTGCATGAGTCATATTGCTAAATTTGGAAGCTTTCAAGAACATGAGCCATTCTTACCAATTGGTACACAGCTGAAAGGATTCATGACAGCTCTCCTGCAGCCAGCAGGGATTCAAAAAGATGGTTTGCAGTGGGGAGATAACCCTTGGGGAAGACAAAAAAGGTGATTTTACATTGCTTTACTGTTTTGCTATGACTTGGATGGTTATATGATTCGCCATCATATTCCCTTGACAACTGCAGCACTAACAATGAAGGTTATGAATAGATAGTGTCAGTGCAGCTGTGCTCTGCGAAGGCTTTCCAAAGAGACTACTCGTAGGGTTGTTGCTGATGGCTTATTAGACACAGTTTGTGTTTTAGAATCTCCTAATCATTATGCTTTGGATCTGGATTACTCTGTGGGTGAAATCCTGCAGACTAAGCCCACACATAGCTGATTTTGATGGGGATTAGTGAATAAAGATGAAATTTGTTACTCCATGTATTAATTTTCAGTCTAGCTTCACAGTGATTTCTCTGAAGAGAGCTGACGAGGGTGCAATTAACAGCGAAATCCTGCTCTCCACAGCAGAGATGTTTCTTCAATGCTGTGAACTTCTACTTGCATGAAGGAATACTTAAATTTGGTTAAATTTGTATGATGATTGTAGATTAAAAATACCACATTCATTTTTATTTGCTTTGATGTATTGCCAAATTTAGAGGGAGCCCCTGGTGGTCTAGGGGTAAAGGCGCTGCACTGTCACTGCAGAGGCCCGGGTTCGATTCCCGGTCGGGGCCCCTCCCCGGGCAGATGGAGCTCGTTAGCCCTGTAAGGCAATCCATCTACGTCCTGAGGACCTTGCTGCCACCGTCCAAGCTCGCTTGGCCCTGGCAGATGAACCTCAGGATTAAAGGGTGGGCTCAGTTCCGCGCACACTGTGTCTCACCTAAAAAATCCAATGCGCAGGCTGGAAGGTGGAAAGACCTTCCCCGGTTCTTCGTTCGCGAAGAGACTGGCCATTACATTTACATTACATTGCCTAATTTCTATGAATGCATACAACACTACAAGTCTTTATCAGAAAACAAAATTAAATTTGTTAATCTGGACCTTTGAATGTAAATTGGAAACTTCAAAGGCAATTTCCAACTGTCAGTATATAGAAAGAACTGTGGAAAGTCTTAAATGTTGTTCTCCATCTGTCTTCCATAGTCCAGATTTCGGGCAGACTTACCTTACTCAATTATACCTAGATAAGCTTCCACAGATTCTGCTGGTTTTTTCAATGCATTTATACTGGTATGAATGATCTTGTGTCTTGATCAAAAGATAAACTGTATTTCTTTACGTGTGTTTCTCTGTAAGGAAAGACAATTTATGCACTCCATATGACGTGCTTAGTACAGCAGCTTCCTTGGAGAGTGCATACAAACAGACTTCAAAGTCTTTTACAACTGCTGATGGTATATCTGGGTGTGAATTAGGGTTAAGGTAGGGGGCAAAGGCTGAGAAGGTGAGAGACAAAATAAATGTCACTTCCACCAGGTAGACCTTGGCATATCTGTCAGTCTGCAGAACCCAGCAAAGTGAGCTTGCTTTTGAAGCTACTGATATTGTGGCTCAATCCTAGTTCCCTTATTCACATGTGAGGATTTTTTACTTCTGAGGATACAGGGGAGGATCTCCAATACAAAACAGAGAAATAGATTTTTTCATGTGACTGCTTGACTTCAAAACCACCAGTAAAGCAGTCTTTCAGTCAGAACTTTCAATGAACAAATTATCTTGGGCTTGTAAAAATAAACACACAAAGTTCAGAGCAGTTCTAATGGTTAATATGAACCATTTGGAGAAATTCTTATCAAAATAAAGCTGAAAATTAGCTCCCCAGCAAAAGCTAACTAAAGTAGAATGCTATCTCTTTGTTACTGCTTGTATTCTAGGCAAGAGTAGGGGATGGGATGGATTGCTGGGATAGACAGTCAGACCTTAATCTGAAGATCCCTTTTTCAGCTCAAAAATTTTATGATACCTAATACACCACAGCCAAATTTAACATGGTTCGTAATATTTGGTTGATTTTTAAAATCTAAAATTAAATATTATTAGAAAATTAATGCTTATCATGATTTTAAAGTCCTTTCTGGCAATTGGTCATAGAATGGTGTTTTATTCCCCAAATTAAACAGAAGATACAGAGTCCTTTTCTAATTCAGCATACAAAATACCATAAGTAGGACCAACCAATCCAAATAGGGCTCTTTGCATCCTTTTGAGGAAAGATGCACTGGTGCGTGTGGAACTGGTAATTACTACATGATGTAATTTCAAGAGACTGGCTGACTTGAATTTGGAGTGTCCCTTTGTCATTCAGTGTATACTGGATGTCAGACAAATTCTTTAGGCTTTATTTAATTAAGTAGTCAACTTGGTTTTAATTGGCCTTTTAAATGAACTGAACAATTAAATCTGTCCTGACCCTCTTCCATCTGCCAAAACACTCAAAAATACATTCTGGAAAGAGTAAATCCCACTGTATTCTTTTTACTCCCTTTGCCTGTGAGGAACAAGATACTGGAGCAGGAGTCCTTGCCTACATGTCCTGGGTTCTAAGTGCTGGGATAGGCTGCTGTTAGTTAGTGTTAATTTAAGACACCATGTTACTAATTTTTGGGTATAAAAATGCAATATATACAAAAAATTATTATTTCATCAGTAGTGAGATTAATAACTTTTAAAATTTATATTTTGAAGAAGACAGAATTTACAAATCTAGTAAAGTGAAAAACAGCTTAACAGCACTGACTTCTTCAGGAAACAATGACAGGACCTTTGTATTATTGCTAAAAAGGATCCTCTAGTAACACTTCAAATGTGAGATTTTTGCAATATGAATTTTTGGAAGAAGAGAGTTACATTCATGTTTTTCCAGACTACTCTTTCTCTAGAGTTGGAGAGCAAGCTAAACACTTGCAAATGATGGCTGCTGAGAGGGTGTTTGGAAACTTGAAAATGTATATAGGGAGCAAAAATAACTAATAGAAGGTTAAATCATCAAGGTAGTGCTCCTATACATTGGTACAGAGACAGATTAAAAAGTACAAAATGAGTTTAAAGTGAATATAAATCTTTACAAGGCATGGCTAAGGCAGAGAAATTAGGGTACTTTCATCCTCATTTTGAATTTTCACTGTGTGTCTCTGTGTCACTATTTACTGAAAGGGGGAGAAAAATCTCTTTACAGATAAAAAAAGCTCCAGATCTGTTCTTCAGTAAATGCAAAACTAAAAATTTGCATCTTCAAACAATTAAAAAATAATATAATTTTTGGAAATAGCCCTGTTAAGGAAATCAAGTCTACTGTCAAATAAAATATTTCATAACAAACATACAAATTTAGGTTTTTTAACAAATTTCTCTTAAATGCTAATTTTTGTGAGAACAATATTGAGCAATAGTGTATCTCTCTCCCTTAAACATGCAAGTCCACCCTTGCTTTTATCACAAAATTGTGATGGGATAAACTGTTAAAAATAGAACTAAACTTCTTCCAAACAACTCCAGAATGTAAGTTATCCATCCACCCTCTGCTCCATTTCTGGGAAACATGTCTACTAAAGGAAGAACTTGAAAATGTTAAAGATTAACTACCTGTTTGGATACCATTAAAGTTTTGTTAATGTTAACATTGTAAGTAGACATGTGCACGAATAACAAAACACCTTCAGTTGTTCACTATTGCAGAGACTGCAGTGGTACACAGCCCCAGGATGCTCATTCAGGGGCCATGAACTGAGGTGCTGCAGTGGCCTGCAACTGAAGAATGGATTGACCCTGTAGTTCCTAAAGAAATGCTTCCTGAAAGAAAGTTCTAAAAATATTAGAAAGTATATAAATCAACCTTCTGGACCCAAAGATGGTCTGGACATGGTAAGGAAGCTCTCTCCATGGGATGCCTTAAGAACCACGATGGATTCACTTTGCAGGGGACTCACCTACAAATTTGACTTTAGCTTTTTATGCGATCTAGTCAGCTTTTTTCAGCTGGTGCTGAAGCCTCAACTTTGATCTTTGTATGTTTGAGAACAACAAAACATTACCAAAAGACCAGTTCAGAAGGTGCTTTAACATGAGTCTCACATCACAAGGCTGTCTAGGCTTGGTAAAATACAATCATGAAAGTTATGATACAGTTCCCAAGATTTATACTCAAGCTACTGAAAATTATCTCCCAAGAGGGGTGTTTTTACAATTTCTCAGTACTATTTGGACTTCAGTGCTGTCACAAGAACCTCACACTATGAAGGTGTCCTGTTGACACTAATAAAGTCTGTTGCCTCTAGCTTTGGAGGGAAGTAGTTTGAGTCTGTTGTGATGCTGTTCATTTCCATTAAAGTGAGGAAATTAGAAATGCACAAGGCTAACTAAGGACAACTATAAATGCTCACGATACTAACTTTTTCCACTTTATACATTTTAACTTCTTCAGATGGCAGCATTTCAAAATTGCAGGGGAAAAAAATCATGTTAAAACCATTTGAGAATGAATAGATTCCTAAGCCTAATGTTTTTTCTCTTTAGTCTTGTGCTAGCAAGAATTCTAAAATTTTACACATTTATAGGCTTTGCTTTCTTAAATGAAAAAGCACAACCTTCTCAAAACCTCTCACCAATCATTTACCTTCAAAATAAAAGAACCACTGCACACATCTGGTCTGACACACCAAATTCCAATTTAATGTCATTCAAATGGAGATAAGTGCTGATGACAGAAATGTTTAGAGAAAGAATATAAATTCAGCTTTCCTATGCATATATCCACTTCTGTCTACAAAACTTGAAAAAGGCATTCATTATGACCCTTAACTAATCACAATTAAGTGCCACCTTTATTTGAAATAGACTTAACTTAACTGAGAATAAACATTTTGGAAGTTAGACAGTAATTTAGATCTTGCCCCATCATTCTATTAATACATGTATTTAAACTGGCACTGCAGCTGAAGCACTTGTATTACTAATCAGTCAGGAGTCTACTGCGACATTGTTTCTGGCATTTGCTAATACATCATCATTTGATGGGGTGCTAAAGATTTTAACAGAAAAAAAGCCTCAGAACACTTGGTATAGAATTTATAGCAAAAATAGGTAGTGCCTCTTGGTTTGACAATTTGAAAATTATTAAAATGTGCTCAGGAACACCAAAAACTTTCACAGCTTCAATACTTCCCTTTGAAGTTTATGTATTATACTTTGTAAGTCAGAGATGTTGTTTGAATGTCCTTTTAGGTTTTTGTACAAACGTACTGAATGAAGACATTATATGATCTCATTTCTTTCCATTCATTCAATGAAAAATGCGAATGAAGGAGTTCTGTTTGGTTTGAATAACATAATTTTCTTCACTAATATGATTAGTGGTAGCTAGTTATCAAACTCTTAGGTTTGTTGGAATGGACCATGGTTGGAAATCTGGTAGACTGTATAATAAATGGCATCTTGTTTCTGCCCTTTTCTGGGATCAGTTTAGCTGATGATTCATAGTAAAGGGAAATACAAAATGGCAAGAGGTATTTGAACTCAAGGCTTTAGGTTTCACTTCTTCCTGAAATTTACTGCAGACTAATGCAGTATTACTTGGTATTACAGTGTGAAGACACAGCCCTGGTTTTTCTGATTTGTAGTATAACTCAGGCACAAATAACTCCAGATTATACAGTCTATGTGTGTATGTATGTTTATGTGGAACTGAGCAGTCTGTGAAGAACTCAGCTAGTACCTTAAGTTAGCTTTAATACTTGTCAAGTACGACTCCAGACACAGACTTTTCAAAATACATCAAATAGGCATTTTAAAGAAGCAGTTGGCATGATTATCTTAATTCTTATCTTACATCTCCTTGGCAGAGTCTAACAATGTAAGAGTACGATTCAGCTTTCTTGTGGTAGTTTAACTCTACATGTAAGATTATCTTTGACAAATGATAAATGACTAGTGTCTCAGTAAAAAGAAAAATAGAGTCCAACACAGAGATTAAGGTGGAAAAGAGTTTTTCATTTTTTTTTTAATTTAGTGAGTGAACTTTCCTGTTTTGTTCCAGATTTACAGCAAAAAAATAATTTAACTTTGGTCAAAAACATATCAATAGTCCTTGTGAATAGAAACAAATGATCTCCCAAATACTAGCATCTGGTCTAGACACATGCTTAGGTTTCAAAGCATATCCATTTAGACATTGCAGTTCCATATGATGTCTAACTAAGTCTGAACCAGGATTTTTGAAGAAATTGTATGTGAAAAATTAATTGTTCAGAGAAGTTTGAAAACAAACACTATTTCTTGAAATTTCTTATGATTCACATTTGTTAAATATCCTCCATTAGCATTTTGTCTCTAAAGCAGCTTCATGCAAGTGATCACGTAGGAAATTATTTTCTTTTTGATTTTTTAACACTGCAAAGATATTAAACCTTTTTTTTTCTAGGAAAAAGATAAAGTTCTCTTACTAAACATTTCAAGAAGCGATGCTGAGAGCTGCAATGTCAGCTCAATCAAAGCTCTGATATTTGCTGCTATCTCCATGCATGTTTACAGCAGCTGACATATGAAAAGCCAGAGAATAATTCGAGTTTGCAAGCTATGAGACAAGTCCATTTTGGATCTGAATCTGGCTGTCAAATCACTTCGGTGGGCTAATCTGACACAAAATGAAAGCATACAAATGAAAGAAACTTTTGGCAAGCCTGAAAAAATGGGCATACATCTGCAAGGCAAGTGATTAGCTTAGTGGTGTCCTTTCAAAAATCACCCAGGAACCCCTTCCCCCACCCATGCAGAAACTAGTCCTTTTTGTTCTTCAAATGTTTATTTATAGGATTATAATGGGGGAATGGAGGAGAGAGGGCTTGTGACTTTGATGATAGTGAAAGTCTGTACACCCCAAAGGTGGTAAAGGAGATAAGCATTATAGGATTAAATAGGCATGACAAATTTGTGTTTCAACTGGGGACACCATTTCAGGCAGAGATTTTTCTTTGGCTGTCAAAGCAGGAGATTTAACTAACACATTCTGCAAAGGAAAAAAAATCAGCAAAGGTGGGAGGTTTTCCACTGAAAACTGATTGATTGCCTTTGGAAAACAAAGGAAGGAATCGTGTGCTAGGGGGTGGTGCTGCTCCTCTGTGAATGTCTTGTGGTCTCATGTCTTATTCTTTTATTTACTTTTACACAACATCTCTCAGACCAAAGTGTGCAGAACACTGTCTATCAGGGAGATGAACATGTATTTGGGGGTTTGGACCCAACATCTGTATAAAATTGCTTTCTGCTCACTACCTTCCTTACTCTTTGAAAAGAGCAGAGAAGGCAGAAGAGGAGGAAAAATGGCAGGTGGAAACGCATCACAGGTTATAAAGAAGTTCAAAAAATGAGAGCTGAAAGATCATATTTAGCAACCTAAATTATTCTCAAAGATTAGTCTTTCATTTTGTGGTGGCTATGAATGGCCACAGGCCCAGTAAATGTTTTGTCCTAAATAAAAAGCAACATCCTACTCCTAAGTTACGTGCATCAAACATCAGTCTCTCTGGAACATTGTGCTCATGACCTCCTTACTGCAATAAGAAGTTGTTGAGCTAGAACAGAATTTGTGAACAAACTTGCCTCTGTTTGATAAGGCGAATTATTTCACAAAAATAAAGGCCCACAAGAAATACCCTGTATTCTGTGTCCTCCATTTCCAATGACTGCTAAGAGAGAAAGAACATACACATTATAGCTTGCAGGAGTTCTGAATCAATTCAATCGACAGCATACACTGAGTGGATAGTTATCTTGCCCGCTTTACTGCCAACTTGAACTTGGGTAGTTACCCTTCATTATCACAGGCAGAGAGAGCAGAAAGAAGCAAGACAGCAGAGTAGATGCTCTGTACCCTCTGAAGATGCTTGTCCAGCTTGCATGGAAGCTCAGGCAGAATAATTCTGGAGATTGTTCTCCCAAGCTCTGGTTTTACAGCAGAAACAAACTTTTTTTGGCCCTTAAGCAATTATCCTGTAAGCCATGAAAAAAAAAAAAAGGGAGACAGAGCCTCAGAAAAAGGTTTAAAGAAAAAAAAGTCATTGAATTGGTTCTACTCTGAATCATGACAAATTCATGCGCTAAGTTAAATAAAAATGAAAGTAGTAAGCAGATTCTTCTGTCTTACTCATAAAAATCCCTCATTGTATATCATTCCATGTTGAACAAAACATTTCAAGTAATTATTAAATTCTACAATTATTTTCCAGAATTTCTGTTTATGGAGGCAGTGGGAAAGAAAATAGGGTTAGGAGGGTTTTTTTTGACATGTCACTGATCATACTTAAGAATTGGATGAACTTTTATTTGTACAAATTTAGTTATCTCACCACATGACCTCACCACATCACTATTGAGTAAACCTTCCTCTGTTCTCTTGTTTATGTGGCACACTCTCATTTTGCTTACAAGGACATACTGCAGCTTCAGATTCACTTGAAGATGGATGCCTAGTATGTTGAATATAGTACATCTGAAACCATGATCAGTGTAAGAAAATAACAATGTGTCCATTGTTACACTGGTTACAGCACAAAACCATAGGTAAAACATTAAATAGAAAAGAGTATACCTCCCTGAATGAACTAGATAAAAATAATTGGAGAGGGGTATTTCAGGAGAGGCAAGCTATTTTTTTAATCAGCTTTTCTTTCAGATGTTTTTCTGCTTGCTTGTCTTTGTTCGCTGCACCAGGTGTCTTGCTCTTGCTGTCTCCTGTTTCATTTCACTTGCTTTTACTGGGTGAAATGGGGAGGGGAAAGAAAGGATAAAATAAGCGGTTTTGCTTTCCATGAGCATTGCTTTGTGTCTTGGCAGGGGGTCTCACTGGCTTTTTGCAGAGTTTTTAAGCTCCTCTTAACATTATCCTTTAAAGAAGAAGCGTGTGAGAAAGTTATTACAGACAACAAGAAGGAATAAAAAATTTCAAAACACTATATCCTGACTGTGAACTTCTCTTCACCTGCAAATGTTCTGTATGCAGCTTTCCTAAGAATATATAATAGTGGTCAAGTGCGATTTCTTTGTTTTTGAGGAGAGGATTGAAATATCTAGAACATGAGCCCTAAAACATGGTCGACACCTTTTGAAATTTCTGTGCCTGTGTGTCAATCAAGATTGCTCATATATTTGAGAATGTCATTATTAAAACATTACTTGTCAGAATAAATATCAGGCAGTGCTCTGAATGTTTAATTAAAAGAGAAATGGAGACAAATAATGGCAAGATAAGTCTATAACAAAACTTACCTAGCTAGTCACACCTAAGACCCTGAGAGAAGTTAAATTACACCTTATGATTTTAAACGTAGAAAACCACACAGTTTATCTCCTTTAAATGGAAACACTGATTTTTTTTTTTTTATGGACCGTGATGATATTAATTTTTTTAAAATTTTAAATTCTGCTTTATCTTTTCTTGGAGTTTTTATCTTGGCTAATTTTGCAAATGCTTTGTAAAACTATCCACAGGTTTCACAGACTTCAAGAAAGTCAACTTGCTTTTTTATCAAAATTAGTGCTTTGAGGGTGTGTTCTGAAATTTTATTTTTCAAGAAAAAGGGTTTATTAAAGGCCAGGCTGATGACTGCTTTTGAAAAAAATGATGTAAAAATCACCCAGGCCCTATTCCACACTTAACAGGAATCTTACTTGGAGACCTGGGTCTGTCAGCTGAGTTGACACGGATAGCTCCATGTCAAAATTCAGTATCTGTCTGGCTGTAGTGTGCTTTCAGCTCTCAGCGTAGGGCAGCACTAAGATGCTGTGTGCAGCTTTGCATGTGAGTAGAATAAATGAATTAGTGCACTAAGGCATACCTGTCAGCTCTTGAAAGCTCTACTGTAAACAGAAGCACTTGTCGAGGAAGAATACATTTTAAAATGCTCCTAGAAGTTGCTGGACTGGAAAGGCTTCACAGAGCAAGAGAATAGGAAGTCTTGGAGGGGTGTAACAAAAACAGGTGTCACTTTCATATGTCTTCAAACTCACACTTCAGTAACCTTGTTTTTCTGATGAACTTGTGACCATAATGCAAATAAAAAGCTAGGCTCAAAGTCATATTCTTGACTAATGTCTTAGTTACAGCAGTTTATTTTACCTTCTTCCACGAAAAAATAATTAAATGTCTTTGAAAAGAGTCCATATTCAATCTAGCAATTTATTCTTTTGATGGACTCTGAAGCTAAACCTGACAATATATATCAACTTCCCACCAGGGAAAGGGGGTGTTAAAAGAATAATCATGGAAGGAGAAAATACACAATAAGGAAACAAAACTGAAGCAAAAGATGTCCACTGTTATTAAGCTACAAAAACATCCAAGGTTCAAGTGAATTCTGTAACACTACACAGTCAAGAAATTTCCACAAATCAGCTGTAGCCAGTAAAGAGTTGCCAATCCATCAAAAATTTTCTCATATTCAGTGAATATTGTCATTGTTTTCATGTCAAATATGTGATCAGCACAGAGGAAGCATGCATATGTATACAGGGCCTTCTTTTGTGCTGATACACAGATTTTGCCAACAGCATTTGACTCGGAGCAAAGGATTCCTGTGAGGTCTCTGTCCTCTGGAGATTGTCTCCACTGGATGCTTACAGAAGCAAAACTTCACTTGCTCCTGGATGCCAGAGCAAAATGCAGCAGTGGAAGAATGGAGCCTAGAGAAATAAGTATGGTCTTAGGGTTTAAATGAACTATCTACCACTTATGTGCACAGTCTTATACAAGTTATATCAGAAATGAATGAGAAAAGGTAATGTATGCCTCAGGGCAACATTTACAGTGTATTGGAGAATGCAGATATATGCCTTGGACACTCTTAACTTCACTAGCACACCATCAAAACACCAAGGGTTTCTGTCCACAAAGGTACGAGGAGGGAGCACAGTGACTTCAGATTCACTTTGTAGTCAATTTATTAAATGTCTCTTCTTATAAGGACTATATAAACAAGGCTGGAAACAGAGCATTTGTACTATGAGAGAAAAGACTGTTTAGGTTTCATCATCTCTGCAGAGATGGAGGAGTTAAAAGACAGGTATTGTTGTTTCAGTGTCCTTATTCTCTTCCCAGGCCTCCACAAGATGTGCTTTTAGTCATGTTAGAGCACTTAAATTTACATTTAGTGTCTGTGTTGCCTCAGGCCTAGATCCCTTTTCTGATATACCTTCTATTTGTTTCACCATGAGAATGTGCCAAATTCAACTAGCAAGAATATGACACAAATTTACAATTCACAGAATAAGTGACTATATATTTTATGTTTGAATATTCTAAATTAAACAAATATGATAACAGCAAACATTTTATTTTTTCTTCAATGGGGCAAAGAAAGAATTCCACTTGAATGCATTCATGGAATATACACAAAGATTTTCCCTATTGATTTTAAATTACCTGTTTGTGCGGAATATGATGTAATAACTTTAAACACAAAACCTGAAATGTGTAATGCTAGAAATCTAGCTCTAGAGAGCAAAATGTCATGTCTCAGATTTTCTTATTACTGTGTATCTGAGTTGTACTGAAGTTAATATGAGACAATATTTGCAGATGCCAGACCACTGAACATCATTGTATGAAA